GAAGACTGAGCTATGTCAGTATGTGAAGGACGCACAACTTTACCATTACCAATCAGTCTTGCCATACCATTACCGAGTACTCCATAAATTGCGGCAATTTATGCGGGCGTGAGTGAGACCTCCCGCGAAAAAATAGGGGATAGAATTACTGCTAATTATCCATGAATTATAAAAGTTTTAATTAAGTCTTTACGGGTGCAATATATATATATACTCATAAGCTGCAGAACTGGCACTCAATGCGTTTCATTTGGAACAAGTTTCTTTAGGGGGACGCTAATCCGGGCCTTGGGGGATTCTGGAGGAATTCCGGAACGTAGTCTATAACATGGTTACCATTGGTTAACCCTTAAACAAAGCCAAAGACCCCCGGATGCTTTTTCCCATTTTATATAGTCATTTTGAGCACTTTTATGCCTTTGAATTTGTACCATAAATATCTTGGACTTCAACTAAAATTAGCGTGATTTTCAGGTCTCAAACACATGCTAAACACTTTGCTACACGCTAGCGCGTGCGGGCAGGAGTACCCTAACCATAATTTCTCCAATAATTAGCTAATTCGAGTAATTCTGCTAACTTCACTTCTTGCAGTTGCTTGAATTACCCAAATTAGCTAATTACAAGGGGCTGTGAGACCTCTCGCATGTTCCTTCCGTCACAGCGCAAAGACCCACGGTGCATGCCCTTCATGTTTTCCATGATAATTAGGTAATTTGAGCAACTCTGCTAATTGCACCTTCCAAGTTGCTCGAATTAGCCAAATTAGCTAATTACAAGGCATTTGATATCCAAGGGTGTATGTCACACCTCTCACTCATAGTGCTAAGCGTCTACATGCGTACGCTCACCATGGTTTCCGTGATAATTAGCCTAATTCGAGCAACTTCGCTAATTGCACCTCTTAGTTACCGTAAATTAGCGAAATTACGTAAAATTTCACAAGGCTTCCAGCATGTCCAGACCCCTCGATGCCCTCGAAGGTAGAGAGTTACTTAAGTTACCTGAATCACTCAGATTACAGCATGATCCGGACCCTTCAAGGCCCTGTCCACGGTAAAGAGTTGCTCAAGTTACCCGAATCCCTCGAATTACAGCATGTCAGGACCCCTCAAGAGGCCCTGGAAGGTAG